CCCCTCACCCCCCTGTTTTCTATTTCCTATATTTTATATCTATTTCCAATTGCACATAATTGAGTTCAATTTTTCCAAAGCCTGAAAAGCTTCTCAAGAAATAGGAAAGGCTACTCCTTGTAGTGTTTGGTGCTTGGTGTCACCCCACGCTGGTATGTAGCTCATCGATTTTAATCTGTCTTGACTGGTCCTCAGCTGCAGGCAGTGGAGCAGTCAATGATGCAGCTTCCTTTACTGTGCCAAATACTTCATCTTTCACGTGGCCTCCTGCGGACTCCTTTCGCAGAGTTGCTCTCGTTGCTGCATACGTTTTTTGACAAACATCGAATGATCTGGAGACCGTGCAATGAGTATCCGTTCATATTCCTGGGCATTCTGAGAATCTAACCTGAATAATATGGCATGGTCGTTTGTCCTCAACAGGGGTAAAACAAAGGAATCCTAATCCTTATCCCAGGAATCTGGAGGCTGACTACGTGAGCCAATCACAGGTTTCTCATTTTCAGTGGATATTTTCAGAAGTCTGTATTTGCCATTTCTTGCTCTGGCAAATGTCTTTGGTATCAGGTGCTGCTGGCCTCGTAAGATGAGTTAGGAAGTGTTGTCGCCTCGTCAGTTTTTAGAAGAGTTTGAGAAGGATTGATGTAAGTTCTTCTTTAAATGTTTGCTAGAGGGCCGGCCCCGTGGCTTAGTGGTTAAGTGCTCGCGCTCCGATGCTGGCGGCCTGGGTTTGGATCCCGGGCGCGCACCGACGCACCGCTTCTCTGGCCATGGTGAGGCCGCGTCCCACATACAGCAACTAGAAGGATGTGCAACTATGACATACAACTATCTACTGGGGCTTTGGGGGAACAATAAATAAATAAAATTATAAAAAAAATGTTTGATAGAATTTACCAATAAAACTTTCTAATCCAGGGCTTCTCTTCGTTGGGAGGTTTTTTGATTACTGAGTCAATCTCCTTATTGGTTACAGGTGCATTCAGGTTTTCTATTTCCTCATGTGTCAGTCTTGGTAGGTTTTGTGTTTCCTGGAATTTGTCGTTTCATGTAGGTTATCCAATTTCTTGACATACAATTGTTCATAGTACTGTCTTATAATCTTTTTTATTTCTGTATAAGCAATAGTAATTCCCCACTTTCCCCACTTTTTTGTATTTTAACATATGGTCTCTCCTGGAGAGTATCCTGTGTCCATTGGAGAAGAATATTTATTCTGTTGTTGTTGGGTGGAGTGTTCTGTATATGTCTGTTACATCTAGTTGGTGTATTGTGTTGGCCAAGTCCTCTGTTTCCTTACTTATCTTCTATCTGATTATTCTATCCATTATTGGAAGTGGAGTATTGAAGTCTCCAACTATTGTTGTAAAACTGTCTGTTATTCTCTTCAACTTTGCCAGTTCTGCTTCACACGTTTTGAGGGTCTGTTATTAGAAGCATAAATGTTTATAATTGTTATATCTTCTTGCTATATTGGCCCTTTTATCATTGTAATGTCCTTCTTTGTCTCTTGTAACAGTTTTTTACTTAAAGTATATTTTGTCTGATGTTTGTATAGCCACTCCAGCTCACTTTTGGTCCCTGTGTGCATTGAATATCTTTTTTTATCTTTTCACTTTCAAACTGTGTATGTATTTGGATCTAAAGTGAGTCTCTTGTAGACAGCATTCAGTGAGATCATTTTTTAAAATTCATTCTGCCAATCTTTGCTTTTGATTGGACAGTTTAACCCATTTACATTTAAAGTAATTACTATTAAGGAGGAACTTACTTCTGTCCTTGTGCTATTTGTTTTCTATGTGCCTTATGGCTTTCTTTGTCTGTCATTTCCTGCATTACTGCCTTCTTTTGTGTTTAGTTTACTTTTTTTTTTTTTTGAGGAAGATTAGCCCTCAGCTAACATCTGTTGCCAATCCTCCTCTTTTTTTGCTGTGGAAGATTGACCAACGTCCATGCCCATCTTCCTCTACTTTATATGTGGGATGCCACCAGAGCGTGGCTTGATAAGCCGTGCGTAGGTCCGAGCCCAGGATCCGACACCTGCGAACCCCCAGGCCGCCAAAGTGGAGCACACGAACCCAACCACTATGCTACTGGGCTGGCCTCTAGTTTACTTTTCGTAGTGAGAAGTTTTAAGTCACTTCTCATTTCTTTTTGTGCAAATTATATAGTGATTTTCTTGGTAGTTATCTTAGAGATTACATTCAACATCCTAAAGTTATAACACTCTAACTGGAATTTGTACCAGCTTAACATGAATAGCGTATAAAACTCTGCTGCTATAGCTTCATCCCGACCCCCTTTTAGTTAAGCATGTCACAGAATTACAGCTTTGTGCGTTGTGTGGCCAAAAACATAGACTAATAATTGTATTTTATGCATTTGTTTTTTTTTTTTTAATTTTATTTATTTTTTAGTGAGGAAGAACAGCCCTGAGCTAACATCCACGCCAATCCCTCTCTTTTTGCTGAGGAAGACTGGCCATGGGCTAACATCTGTGCCCATCTTCCTCCACTTTATATGGGACGCCGCCACAGCATGGCCTGACAAGGGGTGCATTGGTGTGCACCCAGGATCCGAACCCCGGGCCGCCAGCAGTGGAGCGCACGCACTTAACCGCTACGCCACGGGGCCAGCCCCTATGCGTTTGTTTTTTAAAATATGTAGAAAATAAAAAGTGGAGTTAAAAACCAAAATTATAGGGGCCTGCCCAGTGGTGAAAGTGGTTAAGTGCGCACACTCCGCTGTGGCGGCCCAGGGTTCGCTGGTTCGGATCCCGGCACACACTGAGGCACAGCTTGTCAAGCCATGCTGTGGCGGCATCCTGTATAAAGTGGAGGAAGATGGGCATGGATGTTAGCCCAGGGCCAGTCTTCCTCAGCAAAAAGAGGAGGATTGGCAGATGTTAGCTCAGAGCTGATCTTCCTCACAAAAAAAAAAACACCAAAATTATAATAATACTAGCTTTTATAACGTCTGCATATTTACCTTTACCAGACATCTTTATTTCTTCATGTGGCCTTGAGTTACAATCCAGTGTCCTTTCTTTTCAACCAGATCCACTTTAGCATTTCTTGAGGGCAGGTCTAACGGTAACAAACTCCCTCAGCTTTTGTTTATCTTGAAATGTCTTTATTTTGCCCTCATTTTTGTGTGTGTGTGTGTGTGTGAGGAAGATCAGCCCTGAGCTAACATCTGTTGCCAATCCTCCTCTTTTTCGCTGAGGAAGACTGGCCCTGGGCTAACATCCATGCCCATCTTCCTCTACTTTATATGGGACGCTGCCACAGCATGGCTTGACAGGCGGTGCATCGGTGCTCGCCCAGGATCCAAACCTGCAAACCCCGGGCTGCCGAAGCAGAGCACATGCACTTAACTGCTGTGCCACCGGGCCTGCCCCTCTCCCTCATTTTTGAAGGACAGTTTTGCTTGGATATAGTGTTCTAGGGTAGCAGTTCTTTCCTTTTAGCACCTTGAATATATCAACCCATTGCCCTCTGGTCTCCAAGGTTTCTAATGAGAAACCTGCTGATAATCTTGTTGGGGATTCCTGTATGTGATGAGTCATTTCTGTCTTGCTGCTTTAAAGATTCTCTCTTTGTCTTTGTCTTTTGACAATTGGATTATGTGTCTCGATGTGAGTCTCTCTGAATTCATCCTAATGAGTTTGAACAGCTTCTTAGATTTGTAGATTCATATCTTGAATCAAATTCAGAATGTTTTAGGCCATTATTTCTTCAAATAATCTCTCTGACCCTTTCTCTCTCTTCTCCTTCTGGGACTCCCACAATGCGTATATTGATGCACTTGACGGTGTCTTACAGGTCCCTTAAGCTCTGTTCACTTTTCGTTAGTCTTTTTTCTTTCTGTTCCTCAGTTCTCCTATCTTCCTGTTCTCTGATTCTTTCTTCTGCCTGCTCAAATATACTTTTTAATCCCTATAGTGAGTTTTCTACTTCAGTTACTGTACTTCTCAGCCCCAGAATTTCTTTTTAGTTCCCTTTTAAGTGTGTTATGTCTTTATTGATATTTTTGCTTTGTTTATATACCATTTTCCTGATTTTGTCCATGTCTTCCTTTAGCTCTTCAAGCATCTTTAAGACAGTTGTTTTAGAGTTTTGGCTAAATAAAACTGCCATCTGGTCTCCCTCGGGAGTGGTTTCTGTCACACAGGACTGTGTTTTTTTCCTTCGAATAGGCCGTACTTTCCTGTGTTTTGTGTGCCTTGTGATTTTTTTGTTGAAAACTGGACATCTGAATCTTAACATAGTAACTCCAGAAGTTGTGTTTTCCCCCTTCCCCAGGTTTCTTTACTTGTTTGGTAGGGTGTCTCTGTGCTGGGGATCAGGTCTTCTGGGTCTTTTCTGAGCCTGTGTCTTTGCCTGAACATGCATAGTAACTGTCTAAATTCCCCCATATATGCAGTTGCTTTTGAATGTCCTAATCCTTACAAGTCTGGCTCCCAAAAGGAGAAAAAAGGAAAAGGAGGAGGGAAAAGAAACAGGTTCTAGCTCTTTAAATCTCTTGGAAGCTGTTTCAACCGGTGAGGGGTTACAGTAATGTCTGTCCACCTCTGTGCCTGCACCTCTTCAATCAGAAGCACCCACCATCACTCAGAACACAGATCCCCGATGTTTGGATGACAAGGTTGTTATGGTCCACCCTGGCTCAGCAAGCTGCTCCAGGAACACATGCATGGCTGCAGGCCTCAGGGCTGGAGGGTGGGGGATGGGTAGTGGCTACTATGCTAAGAGCTGAAATTGACCCAAATTCACTGAGACTGACCTACCCAGCCTTCCCCTGGGAGCTGCCAGCCTTGGAATGGTTTCCAGAGTTCTAAAATAGTTACATCAGACAGATTCTGCCAGTAAGGAGATGGATTCCTGGTGCTCCCTACTTCCCCATCGTCCCTCATGTCACTCTGGGACCTCTCAAAACAATATTGTAAAAGATGATTTAAGTGAGAATATGAACTTCTTTTCTTCTATCAAAGGGTCTAAAGATTACTGAGGTTTGGAGAAACAGTCACCCAGAAGGCCTTAACTATCCACCACAGTGTATTATGTCTGTGATTCCGGTGGTTTTTAAAAACCTATTTACTAATTTATTTGGTAGAAGTTCAGAGACATGAGGGAATATACCAAGCAGTGATGGCTCTGCTTTTTGAAAAGACTTGGTTGGAGATGTGGAGTCCAAGCTGAGTCTTGGCAAAAGAACAGCCCCCACACTTGCTGTAATTTTGCTCAAGGATACTTAGTCATGTGCTGCATAATGACGTTTTGGTCAATGATGGACCACATATGCGACAGTGGTCCCATAAGATTAGTATCGTACAGCCTAGGTGTGTAGTAGGCTATACCATCTAGGTTTGTATAAGTGTGCTCTACGACGTTCGCACAATGACACAATTGCCTAATTATGCATTTCTCAGAATGTGCCCTCTTCATTAAGTGACACATGGCTGTTGTAGGAACCCTAACCCACTGTCCCCATTCCATTAGTATTCCAGATGTCACCACTTTGCACTATTACCCCATGTTTTAATACTCATTAAGTACTTAGACACGTCTCTATTCCTTATTTTAATTACATGATATTATCTAGGACAGTCTCTGGAGGCTGCCAGCTTTGGGGGTCCAGGTGCTCCACTCTCCCCCCATCACCTTCTCTCCTGAAATCAAGCCTGAGAAGAGTCACCACACAAATGCTGCCCCCCAACAATATTGTTATGTCCCCAGAGACCCTCTGGATGCTCCAAGGCTGCAACCCCATGGGGTTGCTGCCGCCGTCCCCATCCCCACCCTTAGGCTGCTTCTCTCTGCAGAGGGAACACCAGGGCCGAGACCCGCTCAAGGGGCCCCTCTGTCCAGCTGGGGTCAATTCAGTCTGTTGCTGTTCCTGCCATGTCCGGCCCAGCCCCTCTTCCTCCAGGACACCTCTGCCCCTTTGCACTTCCCCTTTGTTTGATGGGGTGGCTGCTATCTCACTTTCTGAGCTTCGCCAGACCAGATATTTCTTTGTTCTTGTTGATGTTATCGTCACTAAATTCTTGTTACCTGTAAAACCTGTACATTGTAACACATTCAACCCCAGGAGATGATTCCAAATGAGAAATGGCTCATTTCATCACCCGTGGAGCCAATTTGTCTATGGCTGTCCCGTGCCCCAGGCCAGCAGGCACAGACTGAGGGCAGAGTTCGGGGCCCCGCAGAATGTGGTTGTGTTCTTTGCGGGCTGGGGCGTGTATGGTGAGGAGCCCCAGCTCTTTAGTGAAGAGCTGAGACCATGAGATGGTCTGGGATGGTGTCCTAGCCCAGCACTGACCAGCTGGGATCTTGGGCAGGACACCTGACCTCTCGTAAAGTCAGGTTTAATAGTACCTGCCTCTCGGGGTTGCCGTTGAGATGAATTGAGCTATAACTTATGCACAGCTGAGAAAATGCCCACCATGTCAGAGGTGACGTTGAAAGTGGGCTATTAGTAAAACGTGTCTTGTTCTTTTCCATCTGAAGCTGAACACCGTGACCGACTTGGTCTCCACGCAGAGCCTGGTGCCCCCTGGCCACGAGTCCTGCGGGCCTGGCAAGTACAAGCATGCCGGCCACTGCTGCAAGCTCTGCGATGCCGGTGAGTCCCGGAACGGGATCCAGCACCGGGCAGGTGCCTGCCGTCCACGTCCCCCAACTCTACCCAGCCCCGCAAAGGAGGGTTTGTGGGTCTGTTTGTACTGAGTGGACAGGGGGTGTCCAGCAGCCCTTCCCCATCTGGGCTCTCCTATCTGCCCTACAAGGGGTGACCCCCAGAACCCAGCTGAGAGGACAGGGGGTTCAAGAGGGGGAACCAGGAGAGTTAACGTCACCCTCCCAGCACCTGCTGCAGAAGCCAGGGTCTCCTCTGGCAGGTGAGGAAATCGGGCCCAGAGCAGTTAAGTGGCTTGCTCGAGGTCACACCATCTGTCAGTGGCTCAGCCCCGGCTCGTCCTTCCTAGTGCTGGCACACTCTGCCAGCAGAGGGCACGCATTCCTGTGCTGGGGGTCCCCAAGACCCACGATTGCTAGAAGGACTCACAGGATCCAGAAAAGCTGTTACATTCACGGTTATGGTGGATTTCGGAAAGGTCAAAACCAGCCAGTGTAAAGGCTTGGGGGCAGGTCCAGGAGAGACCAGGCGCCAGCTTCCAGCTGGCCTCTCCCAGCGGAGTACGTGGACAGCCAGCCCTTCATTCTCCCAGCAGCCTTGTGTGACACATGCGTGGAGCACTGCCACCCAGGGAAGCTCACCCAAGCCTGGATGTGTAGAGTTTCTACTGGGGGCCGGTCACATGGGCGTGGCTGATCACCAGCGTGGCTGGTCGCCCATGCGGTTGACCTTAGCCTCCAGGCCCTCCATAGGTCAAGCTGATATAGCATGGCCCAGGACCCCAGGCAAACAAAACAGACACTCACCATAAATCATGTTGTTAGCATAGACGATCTGCTGGCACGGGGCCCCAGGTAGATAAAGAGGCTCTCACCAGGCCCAGGGCAGGACAGTGCAAGGGCTCAGACATTACCTCCTGGAGCCGGTCAAGGGCCAGTCCTGAAGACCTTGGGGATGTGCAGGGTTTGAGCACCCCAAGCCCGCAGAGTTAACCCTTCACTGCGCAGAGGGGGACTCCAAGCCTGGGGTTCCCCGAGCCTCAGGCTCCCCCACCTCCCGAGAGACAAGCTCACAGACAAGGCCATGAGGGGCATGGCGGGAGTCTGTGCACAGCCTGCCGTGAGTTCAGCCTCCCTCGCTGCCGGTCCTCACCTGTCACGGGAGGAGAGCCTCGGACCCGGACCAGGCCCGTCATGGCAGCTCACTAGCCAGATGACCTGGGCATGTCCCCTGTTGCCCCCCACCCCAACCCCGCCGCCAACAGCCTCTCCTTAGCTGTAAAGAGAGTAGTAACACTGACACTCCTGGACCATCAGGTTTTGAACACAGCGCCTTGGACAAGGGGTGTGCACTTGGGGTCTGTCACCCACACGGACACTGCTCTGTGCCCCCAAAAGTTGGCCACTTGTGATAGTGGCATTTAGGGAATGATTTTAAGATTGTTCTTTAGTTTGAATCACTGTTAAATTTCAAATCAGTCTATTTCAAAAAGGAAATGTATATCGCTGCTGTAAATGAAAAATCAGTATCAGTGTTCATAAAGAGACAGGAGCCATAAAGCAAGCTTCAGGTGTGTTAGCTTCATCCGTTCCAGACCCACTGAAGATGTGTCAGGCATTCCATCACACTTCCATCTCCAGCTCCCTTTTGATGCTTTCAAAGTCCTGTTTTTGACAGAAGACAGCCACACCTCAGGACCATTCGCCCCCAGGTCTCTGTTCTCACATAGACTTTGCATGTTACACGATTGTCAGCTTCTGGAAGTGACCTTCGGGACCATTAGAAAGAACCCAGTGCCATGAGTGGGCACCCAGGATTTGGGAGTCACACCACAACCCTGCCAGTTCCCGAGGGCCAGGCTTGGGAGGGTTCGGGGGAAGGTTCTGTTATTGAAGGTCTGGTGGGTGGGCTCGCCTGAGTCCTGAACCTGTAATTCCCACCATCTACTGAGATAAATAAACCATTGCACAACCTCCTTCAGCCTCGTCCCGAGCAATGATATCCATGAGGTCACACATTCGCTGTACTTGTTAATTTTTTCTGGCTGTACAATAGAATAA